CCTCCCGCCACTCAGCTGAGCCACCAAAAGAGAAGAACTCAGCAGTTCCAACCTGGACAGGCTTAGCCGCTGCAGGTAACGATCCTGACTCCACCAGCAACGTCTTGGCCTCTGCTGTAGAGCTCTGCAAGGCGAGCGGGGCTGAGCCTTTGGCCTGCTCTGGGGAGACGTACCTGTAGAGGAAGCCAAGGAAGAGGACAAATGGCCACGATTCTCTCCGAACCCTGCCTTGTAGCATTTCGCCGCCACCCTATTCCTGGTGAAATTCAAACATTCTGACCTAAAAGCCTCTAGACCCTAAGGTCAATCCTACAAATGGGGACAGGTAAGGAGAAGGGCTTTTCAGTGGGAGCCTCCTGGTTGTGGGATGCCCTCCACCCCGCGGATTCCTCACAGAGAGTCTCACCTGCCACGTACACTGAGGCCCTTTCAGAACCACAGGAACAGCTCGGAGTGCTTCTAAACGTACATTTGTGTTTTAAAGACCCTGGCTTTGCTGCTGACTTCTGCCATCAATTCTTTTTCTAAAAACTTTTTAAATACAGGGCTGGATGGAAAACTCCTGCATGTAACACATTTCTACGTTATATCCTGAAATGTGGTGTCACCAGCTTCGGTGGGAACCATGAGCACAGAAAGAACTGGCCTGTCACCTCCCATACTGACGAACCCACTGTTCTAGGGGTTGTTGTTTAGTTGTTTAGTCGTGTCCGACTCTTCGTGACCCCATGGACCAGAGCACACCAGGCCGTCCTGTCTTCTACTGCCTCCCGGAGTTGGGTCAAATTCATGTTGGTCGCTTCAATGACCCTGTCCAGCCATCTCATCCTCTGTCATCCCCTCTCCTCTTGCCTTCACACTTTCTAACATCAGGGTCTTTTCCAAGGAGTCTTCTCTTCTCATGAGATGGCCAAAGGATTGGAGCCTCAGCTTCAGGATCTGTCCTTCCAAGGAGCACTCAGGGTTGATTTCCTTTAGAATGGATAGGGTTGTTCTCCTTGCACTCCAGGGGACTCTCAAGCGTCTCCTCAAGCACCACAATTCAAAGGCATCAATCCTAGGAGTAGCCTATCTATATTAACCAATGGCTTAATATGCTGACCTGGTCACAGATGGAGTATAGATAGATTCAGCACAGTTTGGCTTGGGGGCAAAAAGGAGACGAAGGTGAGACATGACAGAAGTATACAAAATTGTGCCCCAAGTTTGAGAAAGAAAAAGTTTTTCTCTGAAAGTACTACGGAAGGCCTGAAGATGGCCACCTAGTTCATAGTTACATGGTGGGATTCTCAGCCTCATGAGGGAGTGAGGGGGAATGGTTCCAGGGTCCTGATCCGTTTGCTTACCCCTTTCTGCACCTTGTCCAGCTCTATCATACTGTCTTCCCTTTCGTCTGAAGAATATCTAAGCAAAACCAATGTTTATATTGGTTTTCTTCTGCACCATGTTAGAGTTTGCAGGCACAGTTTGATCACGTCTATGAATTTGACCCTGTGGTGTTTTTTTTTTTGTTTTTTTGTTTTGTTTTGTTTTTTTGAGAACCACTCAAGAGTAATTTGGCTCCTTGGCAGTATAGAAATGGCACAACTGAATGGAAGATGAAGAAGAGGGGAACAAAACCCCCGATCGGTCCCATTCTGCAGCCGAAGGCTGACCCTCCAGGTCACCCAGGAAGCCCCAAAGGTGGCCCCTGCCCCTTTCAGCCTCACCATCTCTTCTTCTCATATTTCTCTTGCAGGAACTCCTTCACTTTCTGAGGGTCCTGGGAATCCGGCAGAAGGGACGTCCTCGAGTCAAAGGTGCCCAGCCAAATCTTGCGACATGCCTTGGACAGAAGGGAGAAAATTAAGAGTAGGAAGCTGCAATTCAGGGCTCCCTGATTTATTTTAGAAAGGGAAGGCATCTCCGTGGGGTGTGTGTGTGTGATAGAGCAGCTGAGAGCTCGGCCCATCCACCTCTGAGACCGCCCTTTGCTGCCTTGCTTCTTCCTCGGTTGAGATCTAGAGCCTGTCTTGTGGCTACTTCCCAAATTTCGACATAAGGTGCTCGAGCATGGCAGGTGCACCTGGGGCAGCTATCTTGGCCAGGGCTGGCCGCTTCAGAGCATCCAGGGGCCAATGATCCATTACCTCCTCCTCCTCCAAGACCCTCCACAGGATATACCAGCACTAAGCAATGAAAAGCAAACAACCCTCTTCAATTATGTCTGGCCTCCAGGACTCTCCTTCCCGTTTTCTGATGTCACTGTGTGTTTTTTGTGCGTTTTGGTTGGCTTTTTGGGAACAGGGGGCTGCAACTACTTTAGGGGGGAGGGAGAGAGGGAA